GATACTGTTTAATAGCCGTTCCTCATCTTCCAGCATATCTTCATATTCCTCTTTTTTCTGCGGTTCTGCCTTAGATAAGACGAGTGCTCTTTGCTCGCTCCCTAGCTGCATGTTTAATCGCCATATATTTCGCTGTGCTACCAAATCTTTTATACAATATATATAGGCCTATATATGGGCTCTTTTATATAGGTTTAGAGCTCGATTCTCATTATACCCACTAGCATCCTCACCTTTATCTTGCTTCGAAAGGCTTTATTTAGGAGCTCTTTCTCTACTTGCTATTTTCCTGTTAATCAAGCCATTTAGCAAATTATAGATTTGGAAAAAAATAAATGGTTAGTCTTGGAAGAAATGGATATAGTTGAGTCGGTCTCACCTCTAAAAAAAGAATAGCCATAATTTTCCCTGAGTTTGATTTTTTTATGCGGAGAATAAGCAACAAACAATGGAAAATTTACTAGTTGAAAAGGTGAATAATTCCAGAAGCGAGATTGAATAACGAGGGACAAGATGAACGTCGCGAGCAAGAACAATTATATTACACCTTATATAATTCTTATATAATTATAAGAATTATATTTGGTGGATTTATTAAGAGTTATGCGCTGAGGATTATAAAAATGATTCTCATTAAAAACGTATGACAGGTGATAGCAGAAGATAAGAGAATTTCACCAAGTGAATGAATGGGCAGCAACTGCATTATTTAGCATATTACAAAAAGATATGCGACACATAGCAAAGTGCAAAATTAGATTGGTATTTTGTAAATTATATGGGAAAGTGCAAGGTTAGATTGACATTATGATAATCTAGATTATAAAATAATTTGTAAAAAATTTATTTTTAAAGGACAATTTTGATCGAATAAAATAACTGTGATTGAGACTTCGAGAGTCTCTCGATAATATTCGATGCCCTACAGGCATTCGAATATATTCGAATATATATAATATTTTAATACAATCGTTGAATGAATAAAGGAACAATGGAAAAATATTTTTGTAAAATATTATATGATGCATATTTAAAGAAATCACTGGAATAATTCCGGATAGCAAAATTTGGAAAAATTTTTTTTGCATTCGTGCCTCCTTCAGTTGTAATAGATTTTCCTCTTTTATCTATATTTCCAACTTTTTCCCAAATTTTTACTTATTTTTTTTTAAAAAACTTATTTGTTGCCCACCACAGTCGCAATTAATCAAAGATAAATTTTAATTCTTTTGTGCCCTTTTTCCTTTTTGTTTTTCAAATATACTTGTTGCATTTATAAATATTTCAGTAATAAATTTTATATGCAATTCTTTCATCAATATTGTAAATATTATTTAAATATTTTTAAATATTTAAATATTTTTAAATATTGTAAATATTGTAAATATTTACTCAACGAAATTAATTACTAAAAATGTCTAACGACTGTCGCATTTGTAAGATTAGAAATTATACAAGCAAATCCATTTAATATTTCTGATAATTAATTTTTTGCCTTTTTAAATGTAAAAATTATTTTCACATTGAATCTACGTAACATATTTTTTCTTCTTTTTGTAGAAAATAAGATAAAATTAGAGTTTTTTTCAAACTTTGATGGGATTTCAAAATTATAAAGTTTTATCAAAGTAATCTAAGTATAATCTGTGAAAATGTGCCTCACAATTGATATTTTCCCTCGCTGTTAATTTTAACTTTCTAACATTAATACAATATGGAATGGAACATGCCGAGGACTTATCTGTATTTTCACTAGATGACTCTCTGGTGAAGCGATCTCTTTCAAATCTTAGTCAGTGATGGTCGCCAAACCAGAAATAATGATTGTTGTTAGAATAATGAGAATATAATACGAATAAGAGATAATGTGACTTTTAAAGAGCCTTAAATTAATGGATGAAAATAGATTAATAACGAATGGAAGTTTTTTGGAACGAAATTGATGAAATTATTAAGAAGTATTAAAAGCTGAATGGTTATTTATCATCGATCGTCTATTTTTGCGTTAATACTTTAAATATTTATGTCGCTTTGTCTGATTGTTTTCACTAAATGAATGGCTTATATGGTAATTTGCTTATTGCAAGCAGAAAAACCAGTCAACTGTACGATGAAATCCTGGAAGAAGAAACCTAAAAAACGAATCGCATTGCCTACGATACGGTTTATTGTTTGAAAATATTTCTTTGCTTTTCATTTTTGTGGTTACTGTTTTTTCATTTTCATTTTTAAAACTTCAAAATAAAATAAAATAATTTAAATAAGAAAAATTTGAAGGACATTATTTCATCATTAAACGGATCCTATTTTTTTAGACAGCCAAATTTTTCCAGTCCTATTCTTCAGTGCTTCTTATTCTTAATTCTCTACAATTCTTTTAATAGATTTCTATGCCTAAATATTCCAAAATACTTTATCATTAGTTTTACAAAATACTAAATTTCATAATCTCATCGAATCTAAGTTGCTTTTTAAAAAGATCATATAAGTCTCTCACCTAGGTCTTTTTGGATCTCTCATCAACTTGTCCTCATCTAACCTATTTTTCGACTTGCTTTCGTTAATTTTATGTTCACTCTTGAAATATATATATCGATATATTAGCCATTCATTATCGTTATCATTAATAAAAAGATATGAAATGCGAAATATAATATGAATGTTTTTTTATTGATTCTTATCATTTTTCCAATTTCTGAAAAAAACATTCGTTAATGCAATTTTTATCTCTAAATTTTTCAATTATATTTTAATTTCCGATTAAATCATTCATTTTCCAAGTTCCATCAAATCAAATTATATTAAATCTATCGAAAGATTTTGTAATGATTTGTCAATCATAAAAAATTTAGGTAACTATTTGCTTATATTCTTTTTTTCCTATTTTTTGTAGTGTAGGCTTCATGAACGATCTTCTTTATCAGTTATCTTTCATTCGCTTAATTATTTCCTTAGATTCATCCACTTAACTTGATTTTAAAAGATAAGGAAGATCTGTCTCTCCAGACCAATGGAAAATAATTGCTTTTTTATAGAAATATTTTACTTCAGAGTGCAAGCGTCAGATGCCTATTTTTTCGAACAATTTTGTATGGCTAACACCCCGAATCCGTTGGCAACGAAAAGCAAATTAATGATTGAAAAGACAAATATTGAGAAATTGTCATTAAATGATGATAACGAAGAATTAACGGTATGTTTGATTTTTATGTAATCTCAATTTTTTGTTGCTCATTTTTTTTGCTTCTTGGTATATTTTTATTTATAATGATAATTTATATGAAAATTCTTTTAAAATATTGCTTCTCCTTTTCATAAGAATTTTTTTTGGCTACCAGACGAAAAAAATTTTTAATTTAATGTTATTTATATATAATTAGTACAATCCTAATTTGGTTGTCTCTGCTACCGTTAGAAATTTTTGCCAAATAATTGTTACTTGTCGCTAGAAGTGCAGGTGACAATACCACATGGATTTCTTGAAACATTAAAAAATAACATTCGTATGAGTCAAAATAAACTACGATATTTATTTATTAAATATGCTAATTAGATATAATTGTAAAATTTCTATTTTCTTGTTGAACTCTATATTTGGTGAACTTTATTTATTTATTTTTTGGCCTTTTTTTTATTATTTACTTGCATACTTGCGTATAGTCTAATTTAATCCAATTAGCAATGATGAAGAAACTTTCTTCGATATAACTTCGAGAAGTCATTTTTAAGAGTCATTTGTCATTTCCTTTTTTTCTTAGGTCAAAAGTAAATCTCCATAAATAAAATTGGTAATTGTAAATGCTTTCCTTAAACAAGTTTATGATATAATATATTATAGAATTTATATGTGGAAGCCTTGTATACGATAGTTCATCGAGTTGGACTTTCAGCTGATCCAGCAACTGAAGCACAACTTAGTGCATATACACAACGAGCTTTTCGCATTGATAACACTCGACATGGGCAACTAATGAGCAGAGCGAATGAAGAAAAAGTTTCTTTAAGTTTAATCCTTTTTAAAAGGATTAATTTCAATTTACTTTCTCGTTTGTTATCACATATTAACAGTTATTACTTTAGTCAATTCTGTTAGGAAAATCTTTAATCTACGATTAAATATATTTGAATCGAGATTTGTACAATCCTTTTTGAAAGCAATGAACAATATTTTTTTCTTGACTAATTATAATAATATTTATTGTAATAATATTTAATATTTATTGTAGCCTCCTGTAGTCTTGCTTAACGTGCTTTTGCTGGAAGCGAGGGATCTAATCGCAAAGGATATTGATGGTTAGAAATTTGTATAATTGATATTCAATTTGTTTGTACTATTGATAACTAATTACTTTTTTCTACAATAATAATAAATCTTTTATATTAATAAATACATAATAAATACGAAATATATATATTCATAAAGATAAAGATATATAATCATATATTAATGGTATTTTTTATTTGAAAGGAATTAAAAAATTTTAAAAATTCAAAAATATTACTTGTTCTTTATTATTTTTGTTCAAGATTTTTTTCTCATTGCAAAAAGATTTTAAGATCACTTTTTTATTTGTAAATAAATTTTCATTTTTTCTTCACTATTTTTCATTGAGGGAATAAGGTTTTAATAAATTAATGCTATAGGATTTAGCGATCCATTTTCAATGATGGGAGTGATACCTGGTAAAGAAATTTCACCAGAAAATGAATCCATCATTTATTCATCTGGTGACAGCTTAGACCACAGCAGTAATGAGAATGACAACAATCCCATGCAAGCTCATCGATCATCTCTTTCAATTGATAGAGTATTTTTCATTCTTTAAGTGAACTTAATTATTTTATATTCGCATTCATCTATTTTTATACAAAACTGAAATCTTATAAATAGTTTTTGATAAGTGATTACTTAAAATTTTCTACAGTTTAGAAAAAAATAGAATTCCCAGCCAGAAATTCTTTGTAATGAAATAAAAATTTTTTTTCGCATCGGTTGGTAGGATTGCAGCAACAAAAGCAGCGTGGAATATTGCAGCGTTTTGGAGGATCATTTCGACGAAAGATTGTCTCGAGAAAGTCGAAAAAAGAAACGGATCCTATTCCTGCTAAACTCATTAAAGCATCTTCCGTCCAAAAAAAGACGTTAAATCCGAAATGGAATGAGAAATTTCAATTCATCGTTGATGATGTTTCTCTCGATCGTTTTCACATGGATATATGGTTTAATTAAAAATTTGTATTTTCATCGAATTTCTTGTTTTCAACAAATTGAATTGCAAAAATTTTGCAATGACTTATATAATCATAATTATATAATCATAAAATAGTAACATCGCAATAACTGAAAGAAATGAGAGAATTTGTTTAGGGACCATGACGATGAGGAACAATCAGTTATGGATGCGGTTAAATCTTTGAATCATATTTCGGGTCTGAAAGGATTAGGTCGTTATTTTAAGGAAGTAACTCAAAGCGCTCGTGCAAATTCAAATGATTCCACGGACGATTTCCTCGGTTGCATTACTTTTAATATCAAAGTGAGTTTTCGAAGCATTCGAAAAAATACAAAGTATACTGGACTGTTCTGATAAAATTTATTCATTTTGTCGTGATTTTTTATTTTTGTTGATATTGACGTGATAATAATTTTTTGTTTCAATTACAAAGAAATTGTATAATATATCATTTGGAATTGAAGGATATTCCATCGGAAGGAATTGAAGGTTGGTTCACGTTGGAGAAGAGATCGGAACGATCAGAAGTTTCTGGGCAAGTGAAGCTAAAAGTAAGTTTGATTATCGTTTGATATTTGGACTTGATTTATTTTGCTATGCGTCAATCACTTTTGTCGTTCAGCTAATATTCATAGAAAATTCATAAAAAATTTGTTATATTTCAGTTATGGTTAAGTACGAAAGAGGAAAGGAGCATATTCGACGATGAAGATTTGATTGATGTTAAACAGCATATAAACTTAATCAAAAAATTTGCATTATATGAAATTAGCCAAACAGGGGTTTGATAATTCTCACTTCACTTTTATTTTTTTTCTCACACTATACTTTCATTAGACTCATTTCGCTGGCCCCTTGTCAGACCAGGCATTTTTTGTGACGGAGCGATACAGGCGCCATCTGATTTTGGAAAGACTGATTTACTCCTGCAAGAAAAGAACTCCATAATCGGCGAGAATGTGAACAAAGAATGTGATCACTGAGTATTCTTCTACTTCGCACATTTACGATTATTTTTAACTCATTTAATTTTAACTCATTTTTCATTCTCATTACTAGTTTTTTAAATTAACATCTTTTCATGTTAAAGCATTTGCTCATTTCTGCCTGATTTATTAGATTTGAATAATCTGAATGAATGAGCTTCGACGCTACATTCATGAAGCGTGAAATGATATTGATATTCTATAGAAACACAAGTCAAAGCAAAATGGTAAATTAGATTTTACTGAAATAAATTATTTCAGCCAAATGAATTTCAAAATTTTGATAGTTATTATCATTAAATATGATGGAAAATAAAAAACTGCTATATTCTACAGCAATTTTACAAGTATACTTAAGGCATCGCCAGCATCTTTCCGTGGGTTGTTACCACCAGCTGCAGTAACCATTTTACACCAACATGCCATTCAAGGCGATCTTAATGCGCTGCATCAAGCCATGTGGTTAGCTTGTTCATTGTTCATTTAAAAAACATTCATTTAAAATTTTTTCGTATGTAAAGTTTTAATGTACAAAGCACTAACCTTATAAGATTTACTTTTTGCTCTGAAATATTTCATATCAGCTGATTTCATTTAGTGCGTGGATCGCATATAGTTCAATGTTAGATGTTGGAATTTCTTACGCATTTCTTTACGAAATTCTCAATGACTTAATTACCAAATGGACGCCTTTAACACTTGATAAGGTATTTTTTGGAGATTTTGTAGAAAAAACTGATTGTCTTTCATTTCTTTGAAAAAAGTTATTATGCAATATGTTTTTTACAAGAAATTTAAATCGTTGCCACAAAAAAAATTCTGGTTCTACATTATGCATAAAAAATACTTATCAAAAATTTAATTTTAACCCAATCAGTTTATCTTACATAAAGGATGAAGAAGATATGTTAGGCGACTCGTTCACCTCATTTGATCAGCATTGTCGAGTGGCAATTATGGAGCATCGAACTCGGTTTATAGCACTTAAACGGGAATCACTAGACTCGCTTTCAAATTTACTGAAGTTTAATTTTTACAATACAGTTTAATTTTTTTTTGTTGTTTTAAAAAAGAATATCATTAATCCAGAAAACATTCCCAACTTTTAATATGCAATAATATATAATTATTTAGGTGCATGAAATTGTTGCATGAATGCACACTTTTCGTAAAATATATTCCTTTTGTACGACCTTTTGTTGCAACTTTATCAACAGTGATTGAGGTATAAATTTTCCTTTATGCTTAATAAATACTTTGCTGGCAGTAGCGGAATGGATGTTAGCAGTTATAATAAAATATAAAAGATTTTACTGAAAAGATACTTACTGAAAAGATTTACAGGTAAAATTTCCTGTAAATCAACCAATTTGTTTGAATTCCCATCACCTCAAATTTAATATTTTTAGATGTCGGCAGAGGCTTATTTCAAGAATGCGTTAGAAGAAGTTAAAATCGATGTATAAATTTTTATTGAATTTCTATTTAAAATGAAATATGAATATTAAATATTAACGCTATTAACAACATCGGCTTAAGAATAAATTTAGAAACTGGATTTTTTAAGTCCGATAGGCTTAAATTTCGTGGCTTTACCAGAGTGCATTTTTCATATCTCAGATTCTTTTAATAGAATAAGCAGAATTATCCTAAGGCAATTTAAATTTTTCCCTTGTAGAAAAGTATCGTTTAAAATATTATGGCACTTGAATTGATTAAATTTATTGGTAATTTCTATGAGATTATTTGGCGCCGTTTATTGGTTTATTTCAATTTATTCCGCAAGATTTTCTACAAGATTTTTAAAGTTTGGATTTAGTGGTATGATTTGGAAGGAATATTTCTTCTATCTGGATCGATCAATTATTTACTATCTGAAAGATGTCTCATTTTTTCAGGAACCTTTGTCGGAACTCTATCGCTTACTACTCTCAATAAATTATGCATGCAATATGTTTTCAGCCTACGATTCAATTTTTAAGACGTATACAGCAATTGATTATGCCACTTTAACCTACTGTCAATTCAGTAGAATGGTACTTGCTTAGAATAACTTATTTATGATTAAATTCCTTTGATGATAACCATCAAGTACCAATACAATGCAATTAATACTAATACAATTATGTTTAGAAAATCTTTTTTAAGATATTCGTGTTGGTTGTGGTCTCCTTAAATAATTTTGCTAGTCTTTTGACGTTAAATTGTATCAAATCTCTAGTTAAATTTCTGACAAATAGCTAAATTCATTCATTCAAAAAAGTTTAAGTCATATTCATTTTATATTGAAATTTTTTATCAAATTTAGTTAGAAGAATATACGTGCTCAGAAATGATGAGCGAATCTTCTTCAGATTTGAAAAATTTGGTAAGTTTTCTAATAAATTACTTGACTTGCAGAAATTTTCATGGAAATTTTCAATTTTCTAAAATCATTCTTTTTTGTGCATGGAAACAACTTTGTAAAAAGAAAATTAGTATATATTCATTCTCTAAAAACCTCTATTTGCGTTTTCCATATTTCTTTAGTGTTCTATAAATTAGATTTCTTATTGTTAATAAAATAAAAATGAAAAATTTGAAGTAAATTAATTTGATATTTTTCAAAAGCTCGTTTCTGATTGTGAATGAAACATTCCTTAATATAATCTCTAGTTAATACATGCATATATGAACGATGAAGATGGTGGCAAATCATTAATTTTACTCATTAAAATCCATTTTGCATTCAATGAATTTCGAACTTATAAAAGCACGAAAACAAGGTAATTTTTTAAGATTTTCCATTTATTTTTTTTTCATAAAAACATTAGACATTAACAATGTATTTGCATCGTATATTTTACTTTTGATGTGATTCAACTATTCGCAAATTGAAAAGACAAAACGGTCAAGCCAAATGCTATTTCGACTTAAGTCACTATCGGCTCCATTCTTTCTCTTGACGTCCCATTTGTAAAATCCAGGCTAGAGAGCTACCCTATGATTCTATCCGTTTCCTATTTTATGAGGAAAGGGCTGAGCATATTAACTAATAGAGCAAGCCAAATCATAAATGGTGAATGCTAGAAGAAAATGAAGAAAGGATAAAAATATAACTAAAGGTGGCCATGAATGAAATTTTAAAAACTTTTTAAAAACTTTTTAAAATTTTAAATTTTAAATTTTTAAAATTCGTTATTTTCATCATAAAGTTCAATTTTTTTTATCAGAAAATGTGAGTAATTGGGTTAAAAACATTTTTTAAGGAACGACATGAATGAATTAAGTTTTATTTTCGATAAAGCAATTTATAAATGGGTTGATTTAGTGCGGTTAAAAGCATTCGCTCGAACCGATCTTTCGTGCAAACTCGATACACCTGTTTGTTTTAATTTCTTTATAAATAATAAATTATTATTATTTTTAAATTATAAAGCTGTCACGAAATCGCTTTAATTTCATTATTCGTTATTACTGGGATAGGATGGCTTAGTGGGTTATTGCTCAATTTGGATCACCGATACTAAGGTTCTATTCTCAGCAGAAGTAAACCTGTTCAAAAATCCTGTATTTCTATCGCCAAGGTACTCTCTGGCATATTTGCCCAATGCGACGAGTGAGCGACGAGTTTAACCAGTTATAGCGAAAGCTCTTAAAACAAAAAATATTCGTTATTATTAACTTTGAACTTTGATTTAACTTGGAATTCACTGCTTCACTATTCAGATTGAAGCAAATAATGAAGTGAAATATACGAGCTCATATGTCGATATTTGTCATATGATTGAGCAGGTTTAATTTTGATCGATTTTTAGATTTCTCATTAATAAAAGAAATATGAAATAAATTAATTTTTGCTAAATTTAAAATCGGATTAAGAAGAAATTAACAATTCTGCTTGTGGTGAAAATGAATTACCAAACCTTCTAAACCTTTAAACCTTAAAGTCTAAACCTTTTGGATTATGTGGCATTATGGAAATTAACTTTGTCCACGATTTCGTTTGCACTTTTCTGCCAATTCGCCAAAATTATTTTTCTTCTTTCGCAGATAATTGCGGCGTGGGAGCGTATACGTATATCGGACATTTTATTGCGAGTTGAATTAACTGGTAAAATTGTGCAAAATATTTGCAAAATAGCTGAATATTATGTGGATCGGATTCTTGCGCAACTTGCATCGGACGGATTTTGCGGTGAACTGCAAGTGTTTATTCCTGAAGCGCTTTTAATTATGGTTTGTCAGAAAATATTCGTTCAAGACAATGCTAAAAGCGAAAAGTTATTTACGAGTTATTTTTTTAGCATTTTTTTAAAATCGTTCTCCTTATTTTTTAGTTTTGTGCAGCAATAAATAATGCAGAACAAGTTCGTCGAAGTTTAATGTTTCACAGCAAATTGCATCTCGATGAAATTACCGTACTTTATTCGAAAAATCCTAAAGTATTTTTTTATTTTTCACGAAAGAAATAATGTAATATTTTTGAAATATCAAAAATATAAAATATTATTTTATCACAGAAATATGACATAAATTGAAAAATTATTTTTTTACGAAACATTTTTAAATGTTTTCATAAAATTATACAATCTTCACTTCATTAGGTTAATTATTTATTCTTTATTATTAATTATTAGGTAATTTATTATTCAATAATTTTAAAAAGAAATTCGTCAATAATAAACAATTTTTATTATCAAGTACAATCAAGAATGGAAAGTTGCTGTTGAACGAAATTTGGATGAATGTGACCAATACATTGGCGAACAAATTGCTGCTACAATACGTCGATTAATACGCCGCTTGGCCGAACAAATGAAGAAACACATATTTCATTTAGCCTGGAGTCCTAGTGCTTGTGCTATTGAAACAGCAATTAAACCACTTATTGATATGGTTGGATTTCGTGAAAAAATCTTCAATCAAATTTTATCATTTTTATTATTTCTTCATTTCTTAAAAAACTATCAAAGCTAGTTGAATTAAAAACTCTTTGATAACACGGTTATCACCGAGCTTTTTTTTTCATTTTGCTTTTCCATTAAAAAATTTTTTTTAAATTTAAAAAATTTTTGGTGATTATAGTTGGATGGCGAACTGAGTAAAGTTCATCGAATTTTGCTGCACAAAAATTTCTCACGAGTAATGTTGGAACAATTAAAAGCTATATTTCCTTTGCTCAAGGAATGCGTTCAAGAAAATCCTGGTGTAAGTTAAATTTCATTGTCTTGATTTCATGGTTTTTAACAAAATCAGATGAATCAAATGATACGACCGATATTCAAGAAAAAAAATGTCAATTTATCAAAATACTGAAATTAAATTCTGCATTAAATTTTTGCAGCTTGATCCAGTTTTTTATGGAAGACTGTCCGAAGCTTGTACAACACTTGTAGATTTTTTTCATGCTGGGGGCAAAGGTATTTCGATGGAGACATTTGAACGTATGTCACAATATCAGGCAATTCTTTCTAGATTCATTTATTCTCTTAATAGAAAATATAATTAAAAAAGAATCCATGCTGAAATTTTATTTTAAGAAATTTTGAAACTATTTGTGTCTTTCAGGTAAAAATAATTAATGCTGATTTTCCTCGTCAGCACTGCTACAACAATACTAAACAGTTGAAATTATTACAGGAGTTGTTATCTGTGCTTGCCCTAAATCAGACTTCTACGAGAAAATTAATTGAACAATACTACAAAGATTTACTGCAAGAGCAGGTCATTTGCGAAAAAAATTGAATGTTTCGAAGCAAATTTTAGCACTTTTATCAATATCACTTCACTTATATGACCACCATTACTTTACAAAAAATTACGAAAAATATTATTTCACTTAAAAGCAATTTTAACAATTTGCAGGATGATGTCACTGAATGTAAATATGGAATTCTTAACGTCCGAGCTTACTACAATATCAAATCAAAGACATTGGTTATCGACGGTAAATATTTGCCATCAATTTTATGGATTTGTTTTTGCAAAAATTTGCAGATTTATAAATTTTGTAACAATTTTGTTGAAGAGCTAATGGGAGTTAACTTTAGCGAGTTTTTTCTCGATGAAATGCTTTTTTTTAAAAAAAGCATTTTCGCTCACTATTACTAATTAGACTCGCTCTGCTGTCTGCTAGAGAAATATGCCATGAATTATCCATGGAGTACTTTAGCGACAGAAAAACAAGTGAGCTAGCATTTGCTTTTCTTCATTGGGTGAAAGTACCAGTACCCGACGGAAGGTGATGCATCGGTGGACTCAAACCTAACATCCGTTTCTCCTTGGCAGTTATCTTGCCATTGAGCCACTGACATATTATATGGAATATTAATTTTGCAAAAATTTTGTTAATTCGACGAAACTGCTTGTTTTTTCAAAAATTTAGTGATTGGTGCAAAGCAATTAATACCATTGGATACCAATGGTTTAAGTGATCCATTTGTTGTGATTGAGCTCGTTCCACGTATATTTTATCAAGCACAACCAGTTGTAAAAACTCGTATTGTCAATAAATCTTTAAACCCGATATTTGATGAAACATTCGAGTTGTAAGTTCGGTTCATTCATATTATCCTGAAATTAATCTTATATTTACTGCCACAGAAACTATAAGATTGTTGTAATAATTCATAAAATTAAAATTAAACGAAAAATAAAACATTGATCAATTTTTCAGCCACATACCCAATGAAATATCGCCCAGTGCTATGGTGCATTTCACTGTAATGGATCATGATTTCCTACGGTCGAATGATTATGCGGGTGAAGCATTTTTAGAATTAGCTGATATTCCTGGATTTAGTAGCACCGCTGGATCAACATTAAAACAATTTAATCTTATCCTTATTCATCCATCTAAAAAAGGTTCACTTAACGAAAAAATCATATTAATCAAATAAAATCTTCCAAGCAAAATGGCATAAAATATTTTACAAAGTATTTGGCAGTTGTAATGTTAAATGCTATTCAATCTTTTTTAGGCTTTTCAATAAAAATTTAATGGATTTTTAGAAAATGCACCAATAGAAATTCTTTCGTCGAGGAAAGATGATAAAATTGCGCAAGAATTTGTTAAAATACTTAATACCGCTTATTAAATACTTTGATTTTTTAATTCCTATTTAACTTTTGTTTTATCTTTCATGGTTTTATAGTCATTCATTTTATTTATTTTAGTATTAAACCTTTAACAATTAGAATTCTATTAAAATTTGCTATTTGCTGACTTACTTTTTCATTGATTTCTTTTATATTTCTACTAAGCTTTATTATTTATTTATTGGCTAAAAATTTCTGTCGATTACTTTCCTTACTTAATTAATTTTCTCTTTATTGCTATTTGTTTTAAGCACTTAATTTATTTAATTTAATTGCCTAAAATAATTGTTTTCATGAATTACATTCAGGCAATTTGGCATCGAATTTTTTATGGTGTTATAGCCATTTATTTTTTTCTAAATTTTTCCATATTTCTGCTAATTTTTCTTTTTTCTCGATTTTTTTGTTTTTTAAAGAAAAAAATTTTTTTGCACTGCTTTCAATTTTAAAAAAACATCGAAAAAAAGTTTGCATTTCGAAAAATAAAAAAACGAACTTTATATCTTCCACGAATATAAATTTTTTTTTCAAAAATAAATATTATTTGTTAACTTCTTTTAAAATTTATTTTTTTCACAAAAATTGTATGTACTATTTGGCTTTTATTTTCAAATCGGCTGAGGCGATGATTTCCAATTTTTTTTCACAATACGGATACCACAGATTTAAGGCACAACCATATACATTTTTATTTCTTTTAGTAAATAAATGTTATAAATGGACCAAATTATCTTGTTTTTTATTTATTCAAACCATAAAGCTATGTACCGTATTTGAAGAAATATAAAAAAATAACGTAAAAAATATAAAATATCAGTTGAACCATTTATACGTCTTTCTTTCTTTTTCTAACAGCATTACTGGTTAGGCTGGCTCCGCTGGCTACAAGTAAGACCAAGCTTGGTCCGACACCGTCGCTAGTAGTAATAGAAGCCATTCCTTTTTCCATCGTCTAAATCCATATAACTCCTTATATGTTCAAAATTTTTCCTGACTGTATCAGTCCAGGTATTGACTGGCCCTCCTCTCTTTTGACGTCGAAGAGTTGGGTAAATAGCGAAAAATGCGTCAACTCCTATGGTGGACGACGGAGACGTGATAATATTATTAATACAGGTGGTATTTGAATGAAAATAGATATAATCATGTGCGATTTTATTCGTAAAATGTACCTTAGACATGAATGGTACCTTAGACATGAATGGTCAAAGGTTGATAGCTTCTTAATATTTTCAACTTTCATTGGCCACGTTTTGCAGTCACATAGTAAAATCGAGCGAATTGCAGCTAAGTGGACGCGGATTTTCGTCTTAATGATGATTTCGCGACGGTTCCATGGAAGTTTCATCAACCGGAAAACATTTAGCTGTCGTTATCCGGATTACGATTTCATTCCTTGCCTGGCCATTTGGGATTAGAATGGATCCAAGATATTTAAAGATGGGGCATTTCCTCAACCGGCAAAGAACTGATAAAAATAGGTATTTTATAGGTATCAGCATCTTGTATATAAGATGAAAATACTTTCTTTTTATTTATATTGATTTCGAATCCAATTCTCGCTGCAATTGTTGACATATTGTTTAACAATATTTGCATTTTTTCAAAACTAAAGGATTACAAAAGGACTACATCATCAGCGTATTCAAGGTCTGTGATGCTCTGGACTAATTTGCACATCTCTTGAGTATTGATAAGCGATGGCCATTGTCCAGTCTTTCGCACAGTTGAATATTGTGGGGGAAAGGATGTAGCCCTGACATACACCAGTTTTTATTTCGAAAGAGTCTGTCAGTTCACCATATGTATAGACCTGTGCCAGAATATGCTGAAATGCCTTTAAGAGCCGAATGATTTTCTCTGGGGCATCGTTTCCATCATTTTTAAGAGCGCAACTCTATCAACTGAATCGAAGACAGTCGATGAAATACGTGAAAGTGCGTTGAAGATATTTGAAGCGATGTTCCAACAACCTTCTTAACGTGAATATCTCGTCAGCACAATCATGCCTCGGTATGAATCCAGCTTGATTAGGGCGCATCTTGCTGTCCATATTTCCACAAGTCTGTTAAATAAATAAATAAATAAAAGGGAAGCAAAAAATTTTCACTTAGACGTCTATAGACTGATACCTCGATGATTGTCGCAGTACGTCCTATCATCTTTTTTAAGAATTGGGAGCAGAACTGCTTTACTCCAATCATCTGGTAATATTTCTTTTTCCCATACCAGAGAGTACATTTATTGAAGGTGTATTATGAAGATGATGGACAACATTTGGATAATTCGATTGGAAAACCATCTTCTCCGAGAATTTTATTGACCTCAAACTTATGGATTATTTTTTCTATCGGTGGTTCATAGTTGAAAAAATAAAGCTCGACGGGCGGATTAGTTATATTCGTGAAAACAGATGGCGCATTGTGGTTAAGTTTGGCCTCAAAAAAATTCTTTTCACCTTATAAAGCGATCCTTAAAGGCCTTAACAGGAGCCCCATTAATACCCTGTATCATTTCCCTGACGCTTTCTCGAGTTATAGTTATAGTTGTTTTATGAAAGTGAAACAATTTCCTATTATCACCGGCCCGAGCCGGCGTCTCCATTCTCAAAGCCATATCGCTCCAATAGCGATTCCTATCCCGCCGTGCTGCTGTCGTTATAATTCTTCGAAGCGCCCGATCAGGGCCTCCTGATATTCGGGCGTTTGTAGCTTTTTCAGACATTTGAACAGTTGCTTCCGACACCCAACTAGCTACTAGTATACCCTAATGTGGAACAAGTAGGCATGTCTAGTTGGGACCAGTGTTCATTCGCTTTTCCAGAGATATCACTGATGTTCATTTCACTGAGCTGTTTCATTAATACGGTTTGAAATGCGCTTATTGTTCCCAGATCTTTCAATTTGAGATATATTAATATATGAGATAGAAAGATCTTAGGATCCGTTGTTTCTTACGATTTGTCAATTTTATATATGAATCTTGGCTGGAACCATGGCATGATTTGATCCATGGCCGTGAAAAGTTTTGTTAAATTCAAAAGAAAAATTTTTGAAAAGAGTTACTTATTTACGAATTCATCGATGGTTTCACGAATTTGACTTCGAATGAACGACTAGTTGTAAATTTTATTATATTACTGTCCAGATAGCAATAATAGAACTATATGTGAAATTATATATAGATATTAAAACATAGCGAATTAAAAAATAGAAAGAGAAAAGGACGTGTTGTGAAACTGACACTGATCCGACAAATAATGCAAAAAATGAAAAACAACCCGATAAAATGAAGGAAATAATGCTGATCTGCCCGACAAAATTTCCGGAAGCAAACGATGAAAACGCTTGTAATTTTATCATACAATTATTTCGGAATTTTCGACAAGCGGTTTCAGCGCCCCGAAGTGAACGACTATCCAGTGCAGAACTCTTCCAGTGGTAACTGACCAATATATAATCAATCTGATTGGAATATTGGCTGTCCGGAAAGTTCCACATAATCAGGTGTTCCTTCGGATGCCGAAAGTATATGTTAGCAACAAAGAGTTCATGGTGTTCGGCAAAATGGAGATGTTCTCCATTGGCACACTGGACCAGAAATGCTATATCTGCCAAATACCGAATTCATCGTAACGGCATCATTGCGCATTCCAGTCTTCCTCGATTATGACCATGTTACCTCTCGGTGTTAATAGTTGAAGCTCCTCATAGAAGTCCTTATCGTGATCATTTTAGATACCTTTGGACAACTCTAATACCTAATATTAAATGGCTAGGCAAAAGACAATATTATAGCCCGGATAACGGCAGCCAGAAATGCGTTCTTCCGGTTGACGAAAACTTTATGGAGCCGTCGTGAAATTACCATTACAACTAAAGTCCGCATCTATATAGTTGTGATTCATTCGATTTTGCTATAAACATGATCAATGAGAGTGGAGGATATTAAGAAGCTATCTACCTTTGACCACTCCTGTCTAAGGTACATTTTACTGGTCCATCGAGCGGATAAAATATCCATGATCGCATCCACCTTCATTCAAACACCATCTGTATTAATAATATTATCACAGAGCGTCGCCTTGGATGGTTAGGGCACGTTCTCCGCCGTTCACCACAAGAATTGCATATTTCGTTACTTTCTGAACTGTGTGATGGATAGCGTCAAAAGCGAGGTGGGCCAATTAAGACCTGGACTGATACGGTCAGGAAAGATTTTGAACGTATAGGACCAGCAATATATGGACTTAGACGATGAAAAAAGGAATGGCTTCTATTACTGTCGACGATGGCATCAGACCGCGTCGCTTCAAGACGTCTTACACTTATAACCGTTGAAGCCAGCCTAACCAGAACCTAATGGTGACAGCTGTTAGAAGAAGAAAGAAAGAAAAAGCATTTGCGCATAAAGTTGCATACACTGATGATCGAAGATTGCAGAAGTTTCCTTTGAAACGAGCGTAGGCCATACGGTCATTTATTGGCTTCCATTTAGTCAGAGCGCACCGAGCATTTTCAGATATGACGATCGCCATTTTGCCCCGAGTTATTCGAGATATCACTGAGATATAGTCAATATGTTGGAAATAAGTTTAATAATTACTCGAGAGCCGACATGAGGAATGCAGATCTCCCACAAACAAACCACATCCACGCCGTATTAAGAGAGAGTATGGATAGTGATCGCTTGACTTGTAATATCCATAAGCGTTCTGACGTTATAAGCAGCTATAGCCAGCACCTCACCGCACATAAAAAGTGTTAGGGTAGGTTCACATCTTCTTTGACAGGTTCGCGAGCAAATTCTATGCTTATGCCTTGGAATTTTATTACTATTATTACGTCTGGGTCATATATTTATGGCATGTACCACCGGATCAGAAGTAACATGTGCGTCGGAAGTTGGTTCAAAGAGACCTGACCCTTCCAGCATAGAATCATTTGAGGATGGAGATACAGGTGGCCCCAGCAGCCACCCGGATTTTTGATACCATGGCAGGTTCATTCCTGTATTCCTGTCAAAGACATTATAACTCAGTCAGTCCTTATTGTTATATTTGCTATCAGAAATAGAAATAATTCACCGATACAAAGCTTCCAAAACAAGATTCCCTCAAAGCATATAAATGATACACCATAAACAAACCTCTTAACGAAACTAATAACCAGTAAAACCAAATCTCAACCATCTTACACCTTCGACATTTAACGATGTCCGACTTATAGTGACGCGGACTTCTCAATCATCGGTCCGCTGATTTCTTGCGTCTATTCTTCTTTTCCTTCCTCTTCTCCTTCTACTAAACTTTACCTTCTTTTTTCCCGCAATAATTCTTTTCCATAAAAGGAAACATAAATCAAAACTCACATAATATTCCAAATAGCCTTAAATACGACTTAAATATTATACTTGGTGATTTTGAGGAGGCCGACTTTTAGTCCTTTGCTTCAATATTTAAATTTCAGATTCGACAGTTGAGTTGGGAATTAGTGTGGTCCTCGGATAGGTTCGGTTTTAATTTGCCTAATTCTGGGATTGCGTTATTTTCGTCGGTTGCAGGTGTAACAATACAATAATAATAATGAAATTTAGATAAGAAATAAGATGTTCTCTTCAACAAGTCGTAACTTCATTAAGGGATTTGTGTCCAATTCGGCAAACCGTCCATTGATTGCCGTTTGTCAGTTGACATCGACGCACGACGTTGAGCAAAATTTTCGCATCATTTCGACGATGATCGAGCGCGCTAAACAGCGAAACGCACAAGTATTTATTCTTTTATTGACACAAATAGGAAGCGGTCGGGTAAATATTATTCCAGATGGTGTTTCTCCCTGAATGTTTCGATTATGTTGGAAGGACTCGAGAAGAAAACATATCTTTGGCAGTGGATGAAGAAGGCGAATATATTGGTCGTTATCGGCAGTTGGCGAAAACTTCTGGACTGTGGATCTCATTGGGTGGTTTCCATCATAAGGTCCCTCAGTTTTTCTTTTCTTTTCCTCATTATTTGCTTTTTAGACTTATATAGATTTAACTGTGATGATTTTTTCAAATTCTCAGGTTTTTTTAATGAGGTTTTCGTTTATAGGATCCAAATAATATCGGCAAACCGTTTAATACTCATCTAATAATAGATAATGAAGGGCGGACGCGTGGCAGATACCAGAAATTACATCTTTTTGATTTAGACATCCCAGGAAAAGTTCGCCTTGTCGAAAGCGAGTTTTCATCAGCTGGAAATAAAGTAATTTTGGTTTCTTAAATAATTTCTTTTAATTGATTATATTAGTTTTTTGTATTAGTTTTGGAATATATCCTTAATTTTTTTGAAATTTTTAAAGTAAAGTTTCGGTTTTTTCATTATAAAGATTGAAAGGCCTGTTCAAACTCCTATCGGTAATGTTGCTTTGTCTATTTGTTATGATGTACGTTTTTCTGAATTGGCACTATTACATCGTCATAATGGAGCACATATTTTAACGTATCCGTCTGCATTTACACTTAATACAGGACTTGCTCATTGGGAGGTAATAATTTTTGCATTTTTGCAATGCGTTTACTCTACAATATTTCAACGTTTTTTCAAAATATTAATATATTTTTAAAAACTGAGTGGTAGATTGCTTGAGAAGAAAAAAAGAAAACGAATATTATACTGGTTTTCAAGATGATAGGTATTTTTTAATGACATTATGTAAAAAAGAGCCAATAAATTTCATAAAAATAATGGATTAACCAAAAATTACATTAACCGGCATAAACCAAGAATTGAAAATAGTTAAATATTTAAGTTTTATTCTTTTGATTTTTCCAGACTTTATTAAGAGCGCGAGCAATTGAAACGCAATGCTTTGTTGTGGCTGCTGCACAAACAGGAAAGCATAATGAAAAACGAGTCTCCTACGGACATTCAATGGTTGTTGATCCTTGGGGAACAATTATAGCCCAGTGCTCAGATGTCATGGGTATCAATTTTTCATTTAAATTAGAAGTTCTGCTCAGTTTTTGATTTACAATTTGGTTCGCCTGATATTATCCTGTAAAATTTTAGATATGTGCTTTTGTGAGATATCTTTGGACTATTTAAATGAAGTGCGAGCAGTCCAACCAGTTTTTTCTCATCGGCGAAATGATCTATATTGCCTGATAGCCCATGAAAAACAAGAAATTGGTTCGTCGATTTTTTTTGCCTTTAATTTGTCATTAATTAAAAATTTATCCATTAAGCAGGAATTAAAATTTATATTTATAGTGTCTTTTTCTACTTTTCTGGATTAATCCTTATTTTTTTAGGGGATAAATCATTTACCTTTGGTGATAATATCATTGATGCTGATTATGTTTTTTATCAAAGTTCTCACTGTTTTGCATTTGTTAATCACAGTCCTGTTCTACCCGGTCGTAAGTAATTAATTATTTGCTATTTATTTTATTTAAAAGATTTGGAAAACTGCTTTAGAAATTAAATTTAGATATCATACCAATTTAGATGTGTTAGTGTGTCCAAAGCGTCAAGTTATACGTTTGTTAGAATTGGAAGATTTTGAAACAGCTGATATTTTTATGGCTGCGAAACGAATTCAGACGATTTTAGAAGCACACTATTCAGCTTCTTCATCAAGTGTTTGCGTTCAAGATGGTCCTGATTCTGGGCAAACTATTAAGGTTAATTCATAAATGTTTAATTAAATTTAATAACATATATTTTTTTCCATTTTATGATGCGCATTTTTGCTATTTGTTTTTATTTCAGCATGTTCACGTTCACATTTTACCTCGTAAAAAAGGCGATTTTGATGGAAATCCTGATAGATTATATAAAGAGTTAGTTGAACATGATAAATCTGGTAAAGTAAAACAAATCAGAAATGCTGAATCGATGAGAGAAGAAGCTGCTACATATCGAAATTTGCTCAGTTATTCAGCTTAAGCTTAAGCTTAGACTTTTATTTTTTTTTCTGTTTTCTTCAGCAATTTTTGCATATGTATTTGTCTTAATTTTTCCATTATTATTATATTTTATCACCATTTTTCCTTTAAAAAAATTACGGATGATCTTTTTCTATCATTTTTTCCCGTTTTATTTTCTATTTTTTATTTATTATTTTTTATTATTTTATTATTTTTTGAGTTCAAAAGTGTTTTTCGAATTTCTTAGGCTGTTTGTAATTTTTCTTATTTAAAACCGTCAACTTTGTAGGAAACCCAATTTTATTTAATAATTTAGTTGAAAAAATGGAGAATTATGTTGATTTGTATGACAGGTGCGAATCTTTCTTTTATGGGAAATTTTTTGTTTACTTTAGTTCTCTTGTTAATACTGCTTTTTATAAAATATGCTAGTTATATTTTAGCGTTTATCACTTTATATCGTGCGCGATTTTAATAGTCTCATTTTTGCTTACATTAGTTTTCTCATTTTGTTTTATGAATAGCTATTTTATTAGTTAATTTTTTTTATTACTGGGCTGAAAGTTGAAAGGTTTATCAGTAATGTCTATCTTCCGATGGTAATATTTTCATTGGGAATTAGAATTCGAATTTGAAAATTTTACTTGTATATGTTAAACATAAGATCTGATTGGCTGAATATGGGAAAGTCAGATTCTCATCGCGTAATTGTTCGTATTAATGAGATGTTGTATAATAGATTTAGAAATGGTAAATTTTAAAAAGATATAGACAAGCCAGTCGAAAAGTCTAGAAATATAGGTAATTATTCAAATAAATGTTCAAATTTTCATATTGATCGTGCCAGTTGTGATGATATTGTATTAGGAAAAACTGAATTTTATTCATTTTTCTATCGTCGAAATTTGCATTAAATGATTATAAGGCAAGAAAAGAATGAAAGTGCGGCTCCAGCAAGATTCAATTTTTAAATTTCCCATTGGTGATCAGTAGATGTGCTATCTGCTACTTATTCGTCCTCCAACTGGATGCACCATTTTCGATTTTTCTGCAAGGATTGCCACGATATGATCTTTTTTATGGATAGGTGGTTGGGGACATAGTTAGAGTTCGTCCTTAGCAACCACACAAATGTGATAGCAATCGAATGAATGCTGCATTCCCTGAAACATTTATCAAGTGAACCATGTGCAGTAAATAATTTTCCTTTATTGTTATTTTATTTAAAAGTGGAAGTTTTTAACAAAACGTTTCGTGGCAAACGAAATTTGAATGAAGTTAAAGCACCGAAGTGAATTTATAAAATTCTCCCCTTTCTTTAGTTTTAGGCAAAATTTTTAATGGACTTCTTTCTCGTTAGATTGAGCATTTTTTTTTCGGATAATTTATCATTGAAAAAAGAAATTATTTTTAGTAAATTTGTTAACAAAAGAAAGAGAATGAAAATGAATGGTAAAAATGGAGTGCCACGTATTGTTTGCTATAGACGTGCATCGGCGCCTACATTTTATCCTAAAACGAGGGTTTGTAAAGAAGTTCGACGAAAATCTCTGAATTTGCTCAGTCAAACTCCTGGATCCCTGGATTGCGTTTCCTCAGTCGAACTGCCTTAAACTTCCTTTCCATCAAATTTTTTAAAACATTTTTTGGTGTCAAATTCATTTTCAATGTAGTGGTAATTTTTTCGCGCCACGTGTTTGCATTGCTTGGGTCAACCGTTCACCTAAGCTTCGGCAATCTGATTGTCAGAGCGATGATTTTAGCGATGATTTTAAAACCGTTTTTTGAAGCTTAGATTGAAAGTGAAATATTTCAGTGATGGGTGTATTCGCTGGTTATGCCGGTCGGCGTTTGACACGAATACTCAAATACATTTTTTATATCGGAGGGTTTTTCTTCATTTATTCTTTCTATGTTGTGCCGACTGTTCAGTTTTTAATAAATCGCGGCGAACAGTCGGAAAATAATAAAGAAAGTGATAATGAAAATCTCGCTGAAGCACGTATGTTTGTCGTTTTTCGTTAGATTTAATAAATAATAAAAATTTTATAATTTAATGAATTTTAATTGCAAATTTTTAATCGTTTTTTAGTGCATTGAAAATGCCATTTTTAATAAATTGCTTTGCTTTTTACTTGAAATTTCATTTTTCATTTTTCCTGAAATGTTTTTTTTCAGAGAGTCATTTGTTTCCTTAATTCGACGTTTGACCCAAAGTCGATTCGAATATTTGTTAAATTAAATACTGAATATGCAAATGATTCCACGAAATTTGAAGAATTCGTTTGGTTTATTTTAGTTTGCAATTTAGATAAATCCATGGTCGATCCGTTTGAATCGTATAGAGCGTTGCCGAAGAAGGACTGGCATGATTATGAAGCAATGAAACGTGATAAAAAGCGCCAAGGTCCCGGTGAAGGTGGCGAACAACTTCTTCCTAATTTAGATTTTGCCGACTCTGCAAGACAAGTACTTTTTTTTTCTGCAGTAATTCGATAAATACAAGAAATAAATTTATTTAAAATTTAAGGAATCTTTATATCGTGCAAATGGTTATGATGCTTATGTCAGCGATTTGATTTCGATAGAACGTTCCGTAAAAGATATTCGCCATGTTGATTGTCAACGAATGCAATATTTGGAAAAATTGCCGTCAGTCTCCGTAATTTTTCCATTCCATAACGAGGTTTGTTTTGATTACAATTATTATCTTAAATGATTTCTCTCGCTTTGTTTTAGATTTATTTTCACTTTACTTCTTGCAACGACATGAATCATTTTTGGTTTGACTGATTCCGATTTATATGCACTCCCTCGGCAGAGGATCATAAAGCTTCAGATGGGTACTTGGCATCATTTCCACTGCATTTTCACTTTTGTCAAGAGAAAACTCAAATATTTCGGCTTGACTAAGTCGAAATAGAACTTCTGAAGCATACTACTGAAGTAACGTGAGTAAATAAATAATGCACAACACGTTAACCGCTAAATTCGACCATCCAGTCTTTATTTTGCCAAAATTAAGAAAATCATCAAGGTATTATAAGTTCAGCTAGCACTACTAAAGCATGTCAGGTTACTATCTGATATCCTAACTATCTGATGCTTCGAAAAAATTACGATATGGCCTTGGAAATGGAGACGGCGACTCGTTTAGGCGATAATAGGAAACTATTCAGCCTTCTTCAAAAAGTAGCTATAACCTAGCGAAATATACGATAGACATCATTGGTGTGCCTTTGGCTATTAGCCTTTTAAGACAGAAGGAATTCTTTGAGGCCAAACTCAATCACGATGCGCCATCTGTTCCCCCCGACATTGCTTATTCGCTCGTCGAACCATACGTTTGCAACTGTGAAACTCCCAACAGAAAAGGGAATAATCTCCGTTATCCATGAATTTAAGGCCAGTCAGACTTCTCGAGAAGATGGTCTCCAGGCTGAACTCTTCAAATTTTGCATATCATCCTTTAATGTACCTTCAATAAACGTAACCTCTGGTATGGCAAAAGGAAATAATACCAGAAGACTAGAGCAAAGCAATTATGCTAGCAGTTTATAAGAAAGGATGATAGGACGTACTGCGACAATTACCGAAGATTCAGCCTATTAGATATCTGTAAAAAAATTTTCGCTTTCCTTCTGCTAAATAGACTTATAGCAACACGAGATAGCAGAATGCGTCCTAAAGCTGGATTTAGATTGGTTCACGGTTGTGCTGACCAAGTATTTACGTTAAGAAGGGAACATTGCTTCAAATATTTACAATCTATAGCTACATCGGCTTCATCGGCTTCTAACATGGCTTCAGTTTTATCGGCTTTCTTTGCAACTGTTCTCGATTCAATTGACAGAACGGTACTTTGGAGGAAACGCGAGATATTCCAAAGAAGATCATTTGAATCATAAAGGCATTTTACATACTCAGATCTGTGTGTATGAGGAATTAACAGATTCCTTTGAAATAAGAAATAATTGTATGCCAAGGTTTTCCCCTACAATATTCAATTATGTGATAGATGAGGGAATGGATATTGCTTGTCGGCACTCAAGAAGTGCAAATCAGTCCATATCATAGTGTCACAAACTTGAATACACTGATGATATCTATTGCTGATATACTTATGACGAAACTCAAATAATATAATAATATTAATCGACAAATGCAACAAGAATAGGAGTCAGGAAGGGCAATGGAAATAAAATGAAGGCTTCTTAAACAAGAAGCCGATAAAAGATCTATTTTTATCAATTCATTCCCTGTTAAGAAAATGGCTGAATTTAGATTTTTATCTTGGATCCACTTTAATCTCAAATGACCAGGCAAAAGACGAAATTATGCCTGGATAACGGCAACTAGAAATGCATTCTTCCGGTGAAGGAGCCGTTGCGAGATCACCATAAAAATTATATACGTCTATATATTCACTCGATTCACTCGACCCTGCTATATCATTGCGAAACATGGCTATTGAGAATGGAAGACATTAAGTCTGCCCTTGGCCCCTCATATCTAAAACACATTTTGCTGGTTTACTGAGTGGATAAAATCTCCCACAATTCATTCATTTTCGATGAGATACCACCTGCATTAACATGCTGGTCAGGGCATATTCTTCGTCATTCACCACAGAATGCATATTGACACATATTTTGCTACTTGCTAAATCTTGTGATTAGTGGCGAAAAGGGATAATCAAGACCTGGACTGATACAGTCCAAAAAGATTTGAACGTTTTGGTTGACCAGCGATGTATGGAATTAGATGATGGAAAAGAGGATGGCTTGTATTACTGTCGACGGTGGTATCAGATCGCGAAGTTTCTCTTCTTATTCTTTAGCCAGTGGGGTCAGCTTAATCAATAGTGCTGAGAACTATTATTAGAAGAAAAATAAGAGAAAAAAAAGTCGGACAAATTATTTACTTCGATTATCACCTTAGTTTTATCTCTGCTGAGATGAAGAAGGGAAGGATTATGGATTAATTATGGATTATTGAAATTGGAATCTGGATTTAGCATTTGTTTTGTATAGGGATTTAAAATCATCTAATTTTTAATGTTTGTTTTACTATGACATTTTTTTGAAAGATTTTTTTAATAATATTAATAATAATATAAGATTTATATAGAATTTATTTTTAGCACAACAGTACTTTGTTGAGGAGCGTTTATTCTGTCATTAATCGTTCTCCAAAAAATATTTTAAAAGAAATTATACTGGTCGATGATGGAAGTACAAAAAGTTTCCTTAAAGAACCACTAGATATTTACCTAAAAGAAGCAAATCTAGACGGTATTGTTAGAGTAATCCACAATAAGTAAGTTGCTTGATAACGATAGGCTTTGGTATAAAAATTTTTTTTCCTTTTTTCCTTATAATTAATTTTCTAAGGAATCGTGAAGGTCTGATTCGTGCTCGACAAATTGGTGCCAAAAATGCTACAGCGGATATTTTAGTATTCTTAGATGCGCATTCAGAAACAAATTACAACTGGTTGCCTCCTTTAATCGAACCAATTGCCATGGATTACAGGTGAATTTTTTTCCTTTTTTTCGATTCTATCAGCAAACATCATTTTTGGTTCTGCTAGAAGCCTGACTCCTAAAATGATATCGTCATATTTCTTATTTTCATTTAAAGTCGTTCCAAAAATGCTCATTCCAAAAATAGTTGAATCGTTGGTAAAATTTGTAAAGCAATTTCAAATTTCAGTGTAAAATGTCGTTTTCGCTCGAAAGAATTTTTTTATTCTTACTTTTCTTGAATTTTCTTTTTTCTATGAAATTTTAAAATATGCAAGCAGAGTTCAAAATAATTAATTTATATCTTAATTAATTAATATCTTTTCATAAATTTTTTAGGACAGCTGTTTGCCCATTTGTTGATATTATTGATTGCAATAACTTTGAATATCGTTCACAGGATGAGGGTGCCAGAGGTCTCATATTTTTGAATTTTGATAGAATCTATATTTTGCAATAATTTGGCACAAAATATGAATTTTTTAAGGATCATTTGATTGGCAGTTCAACTATAAGCGTTTGCCGTTAACTAAAGAAGATCGAAGACATCCGGTTCGTCCTTTTAATAATCCAGTGATGGCTGGAGGATATTTTGCGATTAGTAAAAAATGGTTTTGGGAGCTCGGAGGATACGATGAAGAGTTAGCTATCTGGGGTGGTGAACAGTATGAATTGTCGTTCAAGGTTAATTATTTTTTCAAATCAGTAAATCAATCTTTTATTCCAAATTGTTTCAGTTTTATTCTGCATTTTCTTTTATTTTTATCATAGCATATTTTAGATCTGGCAATGCCATGGACGATTGGTAGATGCACCTTGTTCTCGTGTAGGCCATATTTATAGGTGTAAATATGTGCCATTCGCGAACCCTGGAATCGGCGATTTCATTTCTCGGAATTTCAAAAGGTTTAACCGTTCTATTTAATTTTTAGTTTTATTTTTTGGCAGTGCAGAATGATATTTACCTTTATGTGATCTCAAATGCTTTCGTTCAAGTTGTTTTTGTATTGTCTAAAATTAAGTTATCAAAATTTGCACAAGTAACGTTAAGTTCGAAGTTAAGTAAAGTTATAGCTTTAGAGTAGCTGAAGTATGGATGGACCAGTATAAAGAGAAGTTATACGAGCGAAGGCCTGGAACAAGTAACGCTGATGAAGGTATGTATATTTGCGAATGATTTCTTTTTTATATGCTATGTGCATATAATTCTCTAGTTTCTCCTGTTGTAGTGTGCATAGTTTTATCTGATACTGCTTAAATATTCCTTACCAAAAGAATTTTTAATGCCTTCAAATATTTATATATTTACACTTCCAATGTTATTCTAATTGAATTACTTGACAATCTATTAATGATTCATTCAATAATTCGTTGTTCCTAACTTGTTTGATTATAAAAAATTCAAAATTCTTTCCATGAATAGAAATATATGTGTTGAAAATTTATTAAACAATTCGTAAAAAATCTGGTGGCACAAGGAATGGAATAAAAAAAATAAAAAATCCCTTAATGATCAGTTACTTATTTACTTATTTTTACTTATTTAACATTTCCCATATTAGTGGAATCAATCCACTTTTTTTCGTTATATAAATTTTTAGGAGATATTTCGAAGCAAAGGGAAATACGTGATAATTTAAAATGTAAGTCGTTCGACTGGTACATGAAAAATGTTGCTTTCGACCAGGATTATTATTATCCTTTTGTTGAACCAACAGCTAGTGCTGAAGGTTAAATCTCTTTTGAATTATTATGTTTTGAAATATTTTATATATTTTGAATAGTCTAAAATACTGAATTAATAGCGAATAAATTTATAAATCATTGCAATTTTATAGGTGAATTACGAAATATTGGATCAGATAAATGTGTTGATGCCTATTATCATGTTGATAATGAACGTGTTGAATTACGCGACTGTATAGGCGATAAAACTGGTGTTAGAGCTGAACAGGTATTTTTATTTCAAATAATTTTATTTTTTATTTTTGAATGTTTAAAAAAGAAACCATTAAAGAAGAAATTTGAACAAATCTTCCATGGCAATATTAAGAATAACGTTAATATTAAGAAGAATGTATCACTGAAATAATAAGTTAATGTAATACTATAAGTTTTTTCGGCTTATGATAGTGAATCTTCAGACGTTTCGACTTACCCATCGATTAGATATCCGCTCTGCTCATCGACCAGATTGTTTCGATGTATCAACATCCGATGAAGCGGCACCCATTGTTATGTATAAATGGTAAATCTTTTCGTACTAATCGTACTTTTTTTGAATTTGTTTCATTAAATTTTTCTTATTCAATTCGTTATAGTCATGGAATGCATGGAAATCAACGATTCAATTATTTACCTGAAACCAAGCAGTTATTCCATCCGATTACCAATCACTGCCTAGACTGCAACCCTGAGAAAGGAGAACTTTTTATGAATCCATGCGATGATAAGAAAAAGAGTCAAAAATGGAGTTGGGGTCGACTAAATTTGGATTTGATTCGAAAAAGGAACCAGATTGCCAGTCCTGAAATTTTCTAAGTCATATTTTTAAAATGTTATTGATACTTCCTAATATTCCAGCATCTAGTTCCCTATTGAATTTCCTCCTGATTTTTTCATTCGAGTGCAATCGTGTCCAAAAGCACTATGAAAATCTACTTCAGTTAAGTATATTACTATTAATATATATTATTATTAATATATTACTATTTTATTTATTGGATATTATTTACAACTGTGATAATAAGCGGAATGTAATTGGCAAAGTGCATTGTTTTTCTGTGGCTGTCTATATTTTGATAATATTTGGAATTCCTCTGACTAGTCTTTCCATTATTACATTGGCCTTAATATATGAATTTGAACTTGTTATTCCATCACACGAAAAATGCTTATGGAGTGCTGAGTGCTGAGTGAGTGCTTCTTTGTAACAATTCTGGTTTTCAAAGCGAGTTATTAATAGGAAATATCTAAGTTTAATCAAAACTAGAAATATGTACATGCTAAAATTTTATTGCACATTTCATTTCCTATCCCAGTCGGGTAACATTTTATTTGTTTTTTAAATTATTCGCTTTTTCTTGTTTTTCTCCTTTTTTTGCCTTTCCTTTTTATTTTTCGGGGTATTTTTTGAATTTTACGATTTTGAAATTTACTACTAATCAACTAATTTATCTTTTCTTTTTGCCATGTTCTTTGATTTATTTGTTAAAAATTTTGGCGTTAAATAAATTAATTTAAAACAATTTTTCGATAGAATTTTTTATTTTTTTAAAAGTTTTTTTGCTAAAAGCTGTGTATTGTATTTGTCCGTTATTATATGTTTTTAATAATTTTTTCACACAAAAATTTTCAGCATTTTTCAGTTTTCTACCAATGGATTTGTCAATATTTTGGTTGAATTCAATTTTAAAATTATTAATTAAAAAAAGTTCGCAAATTTAATGTCCTGATTTCCAAAATTGATCGCAAATTAGGATAGTAAAATAATAGGATAGTAAAATTTTCGTATAAAAGCACACATTTTCATACGTATGAGATATTATAAAATAGGATTATTAATAAGTTAATGAATAAGATTTATTCTTTTTTAGGTAAATTTTATTTCAAAGTTTCTGGATTTTATCAAAATGCGAAGTATTTGTACAATATTGATGCTTCAAAATAAAATATTTTAAAAAAGTGAAGGTCGATGATTTTATTTGGTTATAAATAAATATTTGTAAGTTTTAAAAAGAATAAATTTGATTAGACGTCTATTTGTGGTACAATATGGTGATTGAATGGACCATTGAGAATGGACCTTTAAGATTTTAAAATATTTAAAACTGCTTCAAACGAATTCCATAAAATTGTGATTATCAAAAGGAAACAAATTACTCGCCATGAATTTATGCAGAAGCACCGATTTCTTCGTGTTCTAACAACGTGCACTATCATTATAATTATGTTACATAGTTATGTTGGCTATAATCTATACACTGCACTACCTATAAGGAGTCGTTTCCATGGCCCTCATATGTAATCCTTTCATTTGAGCTTGGCAGTAAGTTCTTACAGATACACATAAGTTCCCACCAATCATTCGAAATGATGATATAGTGGAAAACTATTTCGAAATACATTTTTGGTCCCATAAATCGAAAAATCGTTAACTGTTTTAAAATTTCTAATATTATTTTTAATAATTAATATTTTTAAAATAAATATATGGAAGTATTTGGAAAACTTCGAGCTAAAGGTATTTAGTTAAAAATATGAATATCATATTATATTTTTCCGTAGGGATTTTATAGATACCGATGAATATTTTATATTTATATTACCTAATATAAATGCAAAATAAAAGTTAAAAAATTTGGCATAAAATTAGGAATAATTTATAAATAAATTATATTTTATACAAAAGCATGGAACATAAAAGAAGAATGTACGCTTCAGTTTTATCGGAAGAAATTAGAATACTTTTGAAACCTTTTCAGTTGGTGTCCGCTGATTAGGTTAGTTAAAATTCTAAAATTATGACAAACAACAATAATTAGCGATAGCGAATTATCGAAGTGAAAAAATCGGGCAATCGTAAAGGAATATTATATTTTTTAGATAATTTAAAATTTTTGGTATTTGAAAAAGGTGACTCATGACTCCATAATTTTTGATCGTGATTGATAGTAATTGATAATTGTTTCGGCAAGAAGGAGAACGGGCTCGATTCCTGTGCGTTATCATAAGCGAAACCCATCACTACGCAATTAACTCTCTGCTATAAAGTCAGAGTAACGTGATTCTATAGTTTTCTAGTGAAATGGCCTCATCGCAATAGTAAATGGAGTCAGGCAAACTGGAAATGGTGTGTGCAATGAGGATAATAGCATATTTTGCCACACTTCCTCATCCTGACAATACATTTATTTAAAATTAAAACTCGGTTAAAACCGAATCGTTCCGTTTTTTCTCATTCTATTTTCAATACACTATGCAGTTATTTCAATCTATAATATAAACTATAATATACTAAATTTCTCGCATTATTTCAAGGATTTTGAGCAATGAATGACGAATGAAGTGCACGCCATATTGATTTGCTCTGTTATACCAATCATTATGAAGTACACTTCAAGTGTAATTCATTCTGGATAAATTTTCCACTGAAAAATGGCTGAATATACTCCTGTAATGATATTAAATGAACCGCGAAAAAGGAATAGAATAGAAAATAATAAAGAGAGTAACCTGTTATTTTCTACAGATAACATCATAACTGTACTTATATAATGGATTGAGAAAATTTAGGACAAAGTAGCATTGCAAGGACAATACACATTGCGGTAAGCAAAAGTGGAGCTTAATTTCTGAGGCTAATTACAGTGACAGCGAATAATTCAAGAATAATTCAACCATATATTTTCCTCTTGTAGAAAGATCGTTAACAGTATGAGAAAGACAATGATGGAAAATAATGGAAAAAACGAATAAACCATAAATTTAATGCAAGATTTTTAGCTATGAAAGCACATTGTTGAATATATTAACATATAATTTGAATCGTTGAGACATCCAAGGTTTCTCTATTTTTTGAAAATTTTTCTTTTTTTTACTTTTTCAAATACAACAGTGGTTAATAATAAAAATAAAAGTACTCTTGGTGATCAAAAATTAAAATATTTCTTAAAGCAAAATCGTATTGCAAACAATTTAGTATGACAGATGGTAAAAGTAAGAATGGTCAACGCTCATTATTTCTGGCTTGGCTCGTTCCGCTGGCTTATCGTTCGGATAGAATTCATTGCTAGGAATTATTTGGTGATACTTGACTCGAATTTTTAATAACAGATTTACTCCTACTGCAAGCGGAATCGGAACATCGAGAAGACACTCTGAGCAACAGTTGTTCGCTGTGCTGCCTAATAATTACTTTAAAAGGCCACCAAGCATAAAAAACGAATTCTTCAGTATTTTTCAATGCTTTTAACTTTCTTTCCTAAACCTTAACTTTCCTAAACTTATAAATAAACATTTCTTAAATGTATATATTTGGCACAAAATTCTAATTAAAATGTGGGTTGTGAGCGAGCAATTTTCCACACAAAAATCGAATATTCGAATGAGAAATATGTAACTAAAATCATATTTTGCGACTGGCGTACTCACTAATATATTATTAAAAACTGATTTACAAGTTTTATATAAATTTGTTATAATTTATTTGATTTATCTTTAATTTTCTCATTTTTTTCATTAGCTTTTTTTGTAATCGTCTTTAGTTTTTTAGTGGCGAGAAATGCATTATTTATTCCATCCATAACACTTTTTATTTAAAACGTTAAAATCAAGAAAAAATTAAAATACAAAAATTATTTTGCGTAGCCGCTATTTAAAATTATTTTGTTTTCTTACAGAATTCCACAATTATTTTTATCAATTGTTTTGCCATTTTTGATAAAATTTAATTCTGTAAAAAATTTTTGACAATTAGCTGAACAACTATTTGAGTGCATCTGAGTGATACCACATTCCATGACTGCTGTTGTCAGTGATATTAACTCATAAAGACTTTTATTTACACTCTTCCAATATAGTTTCTGTTTTCTTAAGAATTTCCATAAATAAAATTATCCACGAAATAAAGTTTGGACGATAAATAATTTTTTTAAAATGGCTTTCGGTAAAAAATTCTAAATGAGAATTGAATCATTTAATTTTGATGTCCACTGAGGATTAAAAGTCGGATTAGAAAATCTCAAAATGAAATGAAATGTTTATGAAAAAAAATTTACAATTATTTCATAAAAATTTTATTGAAAATAACGAATACATTATTTGAATTTTTTAAAATTTTTTTAGAGAGAGGAAAAACGAAAAGAAAATGTTTTTTTTAGATTTTCTTTTTTTAATTTTAGCAAAAAATTGCGACTCGTTGAGCAAATGATTTCAGCGATGTAATTCGGATTCGTTATTGTTACAACAATCATTATTGGAACGAAGGCCATTTTAGTTCGTTTTGAAGATCAGTTTATCGAACGATTCTCTGCTAAATTTGGCTTTATCTATCGATTAGGCTAAGAATTTTATTTTCTACCTTTTAGATTAAATAAAAATACTCTTCAAAGAAAGAGCATTTTCTTATTTTTGACAAATATATATATCTTTAACTCCTATTCCTTGAAAATCCTCGATCCGGTAAATTCCGCAAACATGAAAAGTCGTTTCAATTAATTTTATTTATTTTATGAATAAGTGGTCACAATCATCATTTCTGATCAAACCCATTCTGGCGGCTTTTAGTGTAGGAAAGATCATTTCGCAAGAGAATAGCTTTAGGATAGGACTTTAGGTGGTTTCCCAGCAATAATTCGATATTTTTATGACAATTTTATCTCTACCTGGAGTTAGAATGAATGATATGACAATCGATGATCATAATAATCATATCGATGGCTGCGTTAATTATTACGGTCCAACTGACAATGTTACTTTCTTTTTACCATAATTTTATATTTTTATCATATTTTACATATATATTAAATATACTCACAGCT